GTCAATAACATCAATCCTCTCCTCCGGTCCAGTGTGGTACCTCACACAAGGAAGATAGAACTCAGTTAGCAATTAGGCTTTTCAAGAGAATAATGACTCAAGAAAAGATTGCAAAATCAGTTTGGAAAATTTTAAAATTGTCAACAGTTCTCAGATCCTAATCGAAAAGCTCAAAGCTGCTTGCTGACCCAGGCTCGTTCCGGACACGAAAATTTTTCATGTCCTCGACAACGGCGCCATTTTTGTCGCACTTTTTCCAGTCGGATCGCTTTAGGCGACCGGAAAGCCAACAGGCTGTCACGCAGGGTTTTGTATGTGATTGCAATAAATAAAATAAATAAAATAATGTAAATCCCTTCCCTCTCACGAGTGTCGTCATCTCCTTCTCATTCGGACCCGTTAGTCTTATCAAGAAGTTTGAAGCTCCTCTTCTCTTCTTTAACTGCCACCAGTTTCTGCGTTCTCTACTTCAAGCATAACATTCTCCCTGGCTTCTCGCATGCAGAAAGGAGTTGACGTCAGCGTCACGGCGCATATGTCACGCTCACATAATTCCAGTCGTATCTGTCGCTCAAAACAGCCCCACTTGCCCTGGCTCGACACAGGCTCCGTCGTCTCGTCGTCTGTGAAAATTAGAAACGTCCACTGTGATGGACGAACTCACACTTTGTCTGGCTCTCTCCCTCTCGTTTACTACGTTCCCCGTATCACGCACACAACCCTTCTGAGATGTTCCCCTGAGCTCATACCACGGTGCCGATTAGACACGTATCACAACCTCGCGTGTCTTGTCCACACACTCTGCGTAGTTGCCCCCTGGGGCGCACACCCTCCCTGTTCGGACCTCGCACTCATAACTGCCTTGCCCCGTCCCTCTCGCGATTCGCCCACACGTGTTGACTTTTTCGCGCCTTCTCTCTCACTCAGTGCTTGTCACGATCATACACACCTCTTTCCTTTGCCTCCCACCTTCTCAGTCCCACGCCCTCTGGGACTCCGTTGTCGCGAACTGGCCTCGGCCCCGCCTTCCACATCTCGCGTCAGAGGGTGGTTCCTGCGCACCTGGTCCGGCCTGTTCCAAGATTGGAGGTCAGCCTCCCGGTCGCTGGTCTCGCTCTCCGCCTTCGAGTCGCGGTCCAGGTGCCGCTGTTCTCGCTCTACGGTGTCTGTCGAGGTTTCAACCTCGTGGTAAATAATGGTCACCCGAACCTCGGCCGTGACTCCATCCCTCTGCATCCTCCGCTTCGCCCGGTCCTTTGATTCAATGACGACCAACTGTAGTCTCTGGTCCCCCTTCATTTCTTCGTCTCTCGCTCCCTCCACGGTAACCTTTAGACTCGCCTCATCTCCCCCACTGTAACTCAGGATCGTAGTGATCCTGGGACCTTCGCCAGCCATAGGAGACCACCGAGTAGTGTACTTCCAATAATCTGGCCAGTAGCCATGCAGGCCATTGCTGCGTACCATAGCCGATTGCCAGATAGACACAGTTCGGTACCCAGCACAAGTGCACGCAGGCGCAGACTGCCCCGCCGTTCTCAGGCCAACAACGTCAACACAGTAAAAGTGATGACCCATGCGCTGTTACCTGCCCTCCGCCAAGGACTCATTTGTCTCGACCCTTTATAGGCTCAACATTCGCTATGATCCCGCGTTCTACATGAAGAGTCCGACTTTAGATTTTCTTGGAACTTCTTCACATTGATAGTTTTAACACTCCAAAATATAAAGTAAAATAAAACTAAATGATTTGGAGACCGAAACTCAACAGTCGAAGTACGGGCCAAACTTGCTATGCTACTGTTAGTCACTAATCATCGCGATGTGACCACGGTCCAAAAAGAAAAACAGAAGTCCCATAACGGGATACTGACAAGCGTTTCCCTTCCTTCAAAACGCGCCTGCTGGCCTATACCTAACGGGTACCCGTGTCCGATGGCAAGGAGGGGGCTTATGACCCTCCATGGAGGGGTGATAGGCTCCCTACCAATGCGGCCGCAGGTCGCCCCTCTTTTGGGGTCCTACAGCGCGGCACTCAACCGAACAAGCTTGGCGCAGGTGATATATGAGGGGTCGTCCCGCTCAGGCCGCAAATCACAACTTAAGCCCGGATTTCCAACCGTTGGTCTCCCTGTGAAATGACAGGCCAGGAGGGAAATCGAATCAGACAATTGTGCAAAAAGGAAAAATCTAAGTAATAATAATAATAATTATATCAAAGAAAAGTAAAGTAATCGTAACGTCACAATGGTCTGTAGCCACCGGAATTTTCCGGAACTAAAACGCGGGTTCATATTCGACGATTTATTTTTCTTTTTCCCTTCTCTCTTTCTGACAACGACTTTTGTCCCGTGTATCTAACCCATAACCTGGAGAAAGGGTACTTGGCGCGCAGTAGAAAAACCCACGCCGGACCCTCTATTTCCGCTTCCCAGGGCGAACCCGGCGGCTACCAGGGCCACAGGACGGTAGTGCTCTGCTGTACAGCAGGGCGCCGAGCCTGCGTGGACCAATGGAAAGTCCTGTGGCGCACCTTTTGCTGAGGCAGGCACCATCAGGACCGGTCCACGTCAAGGTACAACCCAGGTACTAGGACTTGTAGAGGTTCGGGAACACGACTACAGGCTGCAACATCAAGCAAAAAGGCTGGTACCAAGTAGGGACTTGGTACGCAGAGGGGGGCCGGGACACCGCGCCCTCCGACACCGGCAGGAATGCAGTAACCCCTGTTCAGAGGCAGCCTGGGGCCCAGAAGGCAATACAGACCTGGGTTGGTCTGCGCTGGGCTATGTGACCAAGACGCCGCCCAGGGCTGAGTCTGCTGCGTTTGGCTGTGTGACCAAACGCTGCGCACTGGAAATTCAAGGGTCAAAGTCAACTATAGAGGCAAAGGTACTGCACCCAGGCCCTTGGTTGGATACACTCACTTGTTGTGCGGAGGTACCCAGACAGCATCCAGGCCGGAGGGAATTTGATTTCAGACCAATCTGGGCCCTCGTTTGCATCGAGATCTGGACGGTTAAGGGATGCAGCATCCGGGGTCCAGACCCGGCGTCAACACTACATAAGCGCTGACTTCCTGGCTTTGACATTCATTCTGTCTTATGTCAATGCTGACTTCACGCGTTGACAAGGCGACGCTGGCTCAACGCTGCGACGCTGGTGGACGCTGGCTTTGTGCTGACATTTGGGAGATCACGGTGACGCGCTGCTTGCTCGGCATGGTGGCTGCCTAGCTATTGTCTTCAAGACATGCTGATGTGGCAGCTGCCACACGTTGTTGCTGACGTGGCTGCTGCCACGTGTTCTATTGGCTGACGTGGCCGGGCTATGTGACTGGCACTGCTGTTCTGATTCATCGTCACTCAGGAGGAGATCAGGGCTGTGGAGAGATCGTGGATACTTACCTGGTTGTCTTCATGTCGACATTGCTCCAGCGCTGATGAAAGACTGATTAGACGTGCCACGTGGCACATTGTAGTAGGACTTCGGATATGCGTTCAGACTATTGATTACTTGAGGTGGCGATTGAGGAGGGAGCCCGAAGCAGGAGTGGGCCTTGTACTTTTATTCCTCTCCTTCGTCTGTGTGTGATTATCTCATCTCATTCTTTCTGGATATTGGTATCATCAGCAGCTTGATATTCTGGGCTTACATTGTCGACATGTGTCTTCACGATCCGGGTTCATTGCAGTGTGACTGCCTAAAGTATGGACATCTGTCCGTTTGGCAACCTCTGTGTCTGTGTGACTGCCTGCTTTGCTCTTCTCTCTCTCTTCTCTCTCTCTCTCTCTCCTCGCTCTCTCTCTCAAAGTTTGGGCTTCCTCTCTCTCTCTTTCTCTCTCTCTCTCTCTCTCTCTCTCTCTCCAAGTTTGGGCTTCCTCTCTCTCTCTCTCCCCTTCCCACAACTATGTGTGGTGAGCAGTTGCGGGGAACTTCTGCTCGGTAGTCTTGATGAGATGCTGCTGTTTCATGGCTCAGCAGTCTTTTTTTTCTTCGTCTTCTTTTTCTTCAGCAGTCTTAAGTAGTCGATTGACAGGTCAGGGAGTGGTGCGGTCTTGGCTTCTTATGAAGCGGTTGCGCATAAATCTAGGTAGAATTGGGAGTTACGGTGATTGTGCCAGATTCGATGCTGCTGATTCATGGCTCAGCAGTCTAGAACTCGATGATTCTGCTTCATGTCTAAGCAGTCTGGACTAGATGCTGCTGCTTCATGACTCAGCAGTGGATGACAGATCAGTGAGCAAGCACTTCTGTCGAACACCCATGCGGTTGCTACGGAAGTCTTTCATATGGCGAACGGATTCGAAGAGCAGTACAGGAAAAAACATGTGTGGAGACCAGGAGGGGGACAGGATGTCTGTGCTCAATCGACGGAGGTACCTAATGTGACGGAGGTGCTGGGTTACTGCTCACTTGACACTTGGCAATAATGAAGGTGTGTGCTCCGAACGTTCACCGACCTGTTTATTAAAAGATGTGCCTGTTGCTACAGGGACGTATGCCGTTTGCTCACACTGTTTGGTTATTCCACAAGCCTGAGATACGTGAATGTGGAACAGTGTGGGAGCAAAGCGTTTAGAAACTGTGAAAGTGCGGAGGGTTACTAACCCAGAGGGGGGGGGGGCAGGGGGTGAATGTGGTCTTGGAGCTGGGCTCAGTCATGGAAGACTGCACTGAGAGGAGCATGACTTCCTTTTATGGCAGAAAGGTTTGTTTTTTGCTTGGCTAATGGGCGGGGTGGGGGCTGGGAGGTTGGTAGTGGAGGTGCCAAAGTAGAAAATTTGCACCAAGTGAGGGTTGGGCATGGTGAAAGTGATTTGGTCTTTCACAAGGTCAGTGTCTCTGATGTGAATATATGAGACAGATTCCCTTTGTGACAGGCTGGCCTGTTGGTCCTTCCTGCAGAGTATATTTTGCAGCCCAGCCTTGGATTGCTCTGCAGATTGAGTTATGGCGGGAAAAATCCTATCGTCCTATTCACCATTTGCTGTATTCAGTAAAGACGACGTTCTCCCTGTGCTGGATGGAAGAGGTCTGAGGATTGATGAGAGGACGCCTGAAGAATGTCGGCCAGCTTTCCTCAAGACGGGGACCATCTCTCAGGGGACCGGCTCAGCGTATGCTGAGTTTGGCAACACCAAGGTCTTAGTTGGAGTGTACGGGCCAAGGGAGACAAACAGGACCTCGGTGGATGTGGGGAGGCTTGTTTGTGATGTGAAGGTGGCGGCGTTTGCGACTCCAGTGCGAGGCAAATATGGGCAAACGAAGGATGACCGCGAGTATGGGGTGATGTTGCACAGATCATTAATCGGAGCCGTTGATGTCCACTCGTTTCCTGGGTTGACTGTTGATGTGTTTGCACTCATTCTTCAGTCAGGAGGCGCAGACATTGCAGTTGTGACAACATGCGCATCTATGGCACTTGCACATGCGAGAGTCCCTATGCATGACCTGGTAGCAGCAACTTGTGTCTCCTATGTTGATAAGGAGCTACTCCTAGATCCGTCAACAGAGGAGGAGAGGCAGGAGGATGGAGCGCTGTATTTGGCAGCAATGAGCGGTAAGAACGAGGTCACCCACTTTACAATGAAAGGCGAGTGGTTGCAGGAAAGGACAGCAGAAGCTGTTGGCATGTGTATGGATGGTTGCATAAAGCTCTCTGAGTTGGTTGATTCATTATTGAAAGAGCAAACAGACATTTGACAGCAAATGATCTTGTTTTTCAAAGAGAAATGAAGGGTTGTGTTTTTCTTTGCAAGTTTTGTCCTCGGCTCCGGGAAGGTGAGAATTGAAAGAGTTCAATTATAACTTCACAATACCTACACACACGAGGGACTGAATTGCAATGAATGGCCATTTTCAGAACAGTAGTGGAACGTAGCTTGACGAGCGAGAAATGCGCCAAAACTGTAGTGGCACATAGCCCGTAATGATAGAGATGGCAAATAAGGAATGTTCCCAGAACTCTCATGCAGTTGGATGAGAGGAGTGATTGAGGGGCTGCTGCTGTAAAGTTTTGATCATTTTGATCGTTTGTTTCCCACGGTTCTGCCACAGTATGCATGCCCTCACTTCGCGTCACGTAGATGTTGAAATTGAAATGTGCGCATGGGCAGGTGTTGTCACGAAGTGAACGTGGTCAAGGTTGTGGGCCAACTTCCTACGTACGTGTCTTATATCTGCTGCCTCGCTTAGCGGTGGTCATGAGCATGTTCACACTAGGACTTTTTACGCTGATCTCTGGGCATAATTGCGGTTAAATACATCCAGAGGGTCCCAGTGTGAGGATGCTCTTGATTGTTACGAAAGAATGTTTGTTTTCGTACGAGGGCTCGTCAAGCCACTCTGATTGTTGGATTCTGAGCACTGTTGCTGCCCCAGACTGTGTGTTTGAGAGAGATGCGAAACACACAGCTGACGGTGCAGTTCTTCGTTGTCCCTTCGGTGATTGGTTATGATGTGCACAAGAGGTGTGTGTCTGCCTGGAGTTATCACCTTCAACTTTGCTTTTTTCTGTTTGCTGGCACGACTTGACGCCGGCGTCAGAGTTTTGGTAGAACATGAAAATGGAAGGAAAACAGTCGGTAGTCTTGCCAAACTGACGGAGAGCCATACGTGTGTGCATGGGGCTGGTCGGGGGGGAGGCAAAAGGTCTGTGAGTGGCAAGGAAAGTTTGTGGAGTGTATATATGTGCATGCAGAGCTTGTGTGGGCAAACACAAGCGTGGTATTGCAACGTATGTATGGATTGATCAAGTCAACCTTGTGCATGCTCTCGTTCGCGGTTGTGCCTGCTCGGTTGAATCATCCCATTGGAGCATAAATGTGTTACGGGAAAAAAACTACTGCGTTTGATGGATGCCTTTCTCGTGTGTGAGATATCGAAGACGCCGATTGTTGTCTGTTGGCACTGCAGTCGTTGCGTCAGCATTTTTGTCATGCGAAGGTTGTTGGTTTGCTCCATCCCTACAGCAAGAGCCCTCATGCGTTACATGGACAGCAGGGTGTCCACAGCACAGGGTCAGTCCCGTGCTTGCCTGACATGGTCTGATCTGCTGTTTGAATCCAGGAAAGGGGTCCACCTACTGTCTGTGTCGAACCTGCACGATTGCTTCCATGTGCTCTGCCTCATCTACAGTACTGATCGACCAACGATCTGTCATGTGGAACACTTGCAGCAGGCTTCCATGTTGTCGTATGAGGGAGGTTGTGATGTCAGACTGTCTGGCTGGTCATAGTATGTTAGCGCGGCAAAAGGAAAATGAGCAGAACTACCTGTATGTGGCTGCTGGTAGTCTGTCAGGCTCTCAGATCAGCACAGTTATACACTCCACAATTTGCAGCAGGCATCAATGGTATTGGGACACAAGAGGTTAACGGGCATCTGGTTTTCAGGCCTGAAATTTCTGAAATTAGGGTTTTGGGCTCAAATTTCATGTTTTTTTGGAATTTCAAGTTTTTGCTATATATGCATTTTGATAGGGTTGCCGTATATGAAATTTGGGGTTATTTGGAGTTTTAGAATTTGCGCTATTAAGATTTCTGAAATTTCTCTTTGGGCCAAATTTCATGGAAATGCACCTTTGGCTTGCTGTTTTATATGTTTTTAATTGCTTTTTTTAGGGTTTTTTTCTGTGATGGGGTTGTAAGAAGTGCACTCTATAGATTGGTGTGAAGTGTTGTTAAAATGACTGTCTGGTTTTCTTATAAATGGGCCTGAAAAATGGGTGCTCGGTTAACCTGCTCTCGAGGCATGACATTGGGGACCAGCCAAATGACTCTGTCATGCAAAACTCCTCCATCTGCAACGCACACTTGCGTACATCCTGCCTTGCCTGGGTCATTTCAACGCTGTTACCTTTGCGGAAAATTCATGGGCCATTTGCGATAATGGCAGTACAGGGCACTGGCTGGGTAATATCACGGAGTGGCACACTCCCAGGCTTGTCAATCAGGAACAGTATGTTGATTTCGACTGGCAAGCTCTACAGCCTCCAGAGAAACAATCTGGTCGACCCTCTCCCCTCCCCTGAAACTGGCCATGCTGCATCCCATGCCTGTGCAGATCAGATGGACTCCACCACTGACAGTGAGGGGGGGTCCTTCAGAGGACCGTAGCTGCACCGTGCAGTTGTGTCTGCATATGGCGCAGGTCGGTTAGCATGTGCATGCCATAACCTCTGCTTCAAACGCTATGATGAACAATTCGGCCAACCCTCCCGCCAGGCTCCGTCGCCTGCCTGTTGAAAACATACAGACTCTGCCGCTGATTGTGAGGGGGGCCCTTCAGAGTATGGGAGCTGCACCACACAATTGTGTCTCTATACTAGCACAGTTCAGCTATAGCATGTGCATGACATGATCTCTTCTCCAAAGGCTATGAAGGCATGATCGCGGCCAGCCTCTGCCATGAAAACTCTGACCTGTTGTCTTGCACTCATCTCCACCACCCCCTTATAACTTGCTCGATATGTTGTTGTGGCCTTGACGTGCAATATGCTTGAATAACCGCGAACGCGACCCTGCATTCCCACTGGCATGTCAGCAACATGCCATATGTCAGGAGGCTTTCATGGCGAGTATGCACCG